AGATTATTTTTACAAGGACCAGAAGGCCAAAAGGCGTAGATTTTTAAAGAATATTTTTACAAGGACCAGAAGTCCAAGAGGCGTGGGTTTTTAAAGAATATTTTTACAAGGACTAGATGACTAATAGGCCTGGGTCTTTAAAGAATATTTTTACAAGGACTAGAAGACTAAAAGACGTGGATTTTTACAGAATATTTCCTGAAAGAATCGTGGATTTTTAAAGAAAAAATTTTCAAGGACTAGAAGACCAATAGGAGAGGATTTTCAAAAGAATATTTATTTATAGAAGGTAGAAAATGTTATTAACTTTAAATGCAAATACGTCAACGATTTATAATTTCAGAGAAGAGGAAGAGAATTTTTTAGAATATATTTTTAAGGAATATCCAAACCAGACGAGTAAGTTTTTAATGGAAGAAGTCCAGTAGGCGTGGATTTTAGAGCATATTTTCATAAGTTCTTGAGGGTCATTAGGAGTGGACCTTTATATTTTCACAAAGTCCAGAATATCATCAGGAGTGAATTGTGAAACGAATATTTATTTATCGAAGGTAGAAAAGATTATTAACTTTAAATGCAAATACGTCAAAGAGTTATTAAAAGTTGTCAGGAAGAGAAATTTTTAAGTGATATCGAAACCTGAAGTGTAATTTTTTAATGGATACATGTTCGAGGACAATCAGAGCTATAAATATAAGTCTTTAAATCACTAATGCTCAAAATAGTACGAAGTGATATCTCCCACTTACGTTCTGACACACTCTCAATTTAGTTCTGTTCAACACTGCTTTAAATACTATTTTTCTAAGGCTATCAGAGGTAATATTGGGGTATTTTTATGTGAATATCTTTACAAGTTCTTGCAGACCATGGAACGTGAATTGTTAAATGATATTTTTAGAAGATCCAGCAGATCATCGCATTGTTCCCTCAGAATACTTTTAAAAGGGACTATTGGAAGATCAAGTGCGGATTTTTAAAAATTTTTTTCAGAAGTTCCATTAGAAGAAGAAGCACGGATTTTGAAGGAATATATTTAGAAGGTCCATTAGAAGATCAGGCTTTGATTTTTATAGAATATTTATAGAAGGGCTACTAGAAGATTAAATGAGGATTTCTGAAGAATATTATTACAAGGAATGTAGAAAATAATATTAACTTTAAATGCAAATACGTCAATAATTTAATAAATACATCTTCGAAGACTATCAGAGCTGCAAGTACAAATTATATTTTTCTAAGGCTACCAAAGATAATTCACTCTTTTAAGAATTTATTTTTTATTTAGTATTAGAATGACAAAACGACCATCAAGCGTCGATTTTTAAATTCTATTTTTATATGTACTAGAAGACCACCAGGATTAGATAGTCTAAAAACAGACTTTTATGGAATATTTTATTCGTTTGTTTATTCATCAAGAAAATCATAAAAAATAAGCAAAGATATATTTTTTGCGAAATGTCCTTTGAAAATGTTATCTCAAAATTTTGTACTTCGTCTAGACCTCCTAATTACTATGGTATGTGTTTAGATAGGATCAAGTTAATATCCTTTGGCTTTGTTTACATAAAGTCAAGTGTTTTCAAAATAGCAGTTAGTGTTAAATCTAATACCAGTAGCCAGATCAAGATCCATGGATTAGGATACCATCAGGTTAATCTATGTTTTGGCAAAACAAAATAGATTAAAACGTAATGGGTTCGCAGGAAAAAAATGTGAGGATGTTTTTGAAAAACAAAAATATGAAAATATTAGGCCTACATTTAATTATTATAAAGAAAGTATTTTTTTTATTTCATTTTACTTCGATGAATTTATAAAAAATATATACAAAATATTTTTACAAAATCTAAATTTTTTTTCTTTTCATTTTACTATTTCTTAGAAAGCCTATTTGAAAATGAAATGGGAATTCTGAAACTTTAGTTTCTAAAGTATATGTTTTTATTTTTATTTAATTTTACTTTGATTAATATATAATAAAAATATTTATATTTAAGGGGACCCCCATTTTGTTGACTTAATTCGAATCGAATCGAATAATTTTACTTTGATTAATATATAATAAAAATATTTATATTTAAGGGGACCCCCATTTTGTTGACTTAATTCGAATCTACACTAATTCAATAATGTCTCTACAAAATTTCAAGTGAAAATCTTAAAAATTTTTGAAGATATAGCCGATTTATTGTGTCAGCATCAAGTGACGGCTGAAGGATTTCTCAAACTTTAAACGCGTTTTCTCTAAACGAATGGCGGGCACGATAACTCAAAAGCTAATACCCCAATCGATTCCAAATTTGTACACGTTTCTCTGTGTGTGTGTATAGCTATCGTATGAACTAGGATAAAGCCAATAGGTGCAGATCTTCCTTACTTTTTAACTTGGGTTTTGGTAAAAAAAAATCGGCGATTTTTTAAAAATATTATTTCAAAGGTCCGCCATTTTGTTTAATTTTAGAGCGAAGTCAATAATCCTAGTTCATACGAGAGCCAGACATGTACTCTTTCTAACACAGTTGGAATTTTCAGATTCCGATGTTCCAGTGAGGAGTTATCATGCCCGCCATCAAAAATAAGGACTTTTCTTTAATTACAAAAAACAACAACAAAACAATAACAAACATTTTTGATAAATTATTTTTCTTCTACTTTAAATCTTCATATATATATGTGCAAAGTTACAAACCTTAACAAGCATTGGTACAGATTTACCAGCTCATTGAAAATCTTGAAAAATTAAAATCGAGAATGGAGGGGGTTCCCTTAATATATTTTAAAAGGACTGGCGGAATAAGAGGCCTCGAAAAAGGAGTAGAGGAATAATAGAAGTGGATCATTTAAGAATATTTGTACAAGGTAAAAATTAATAACTTTAAATGCAAATACGCCAAGGATTTCATTCATCTTGAATTAAATTGTCATTCATTCGGGAGTGTAGTTTTTAAGAATTTATTTTTAAGTATTATAGACGCAGGATATGTAGGGTTTTTTTTAATGAAAACATATTCGTGGTCTATTAAAGCTGCATGTATACAGTTTTGTAAATAACATTTTTTTGTAAAACTTTTACGGTCTAATTTTTCAACAAGCCGCATCTAGGGATATGTATATAACTCGGGTATTTTTTTTTATAAATATATTTACTAGGGGTATCGAAGGTGGTTTTTAAATAATATATTTTTTTTTTGCAAAATAGTCTGTCAACTGTTTATTAGGAAGATTATAGTTTGGGATCTCGCCACTGATTCTCATCAGTTCATGATCCTCATCAGTTCAAAATCTTCTAAATTTCCTTAAATTTCTGTTGCTGAAGTACTGAAATAGTATCGCAATAGTATTTTTTTCACGTTTGATTCCTCATTGTACGAAAATATATCAGTTATTTGACATATATTCCAAGGCAAATTTACTATTAAACAATGGCATGTTTTATTAAAACACGTTTTATGTCAACATAACGTCAATTTGCTTAATATCTCTTCCATATTCCAAACAAATGTCAAAAGAGAGCTTTTATAAGCTAAATAGTCTAATAATTGGCAACCCCGTTTTAATTCTCTCACTCTCTCTATTGTTTTAAATGCCTCTCTCTTCGAAAAATAACTGCACATTTTTGTGTTGTTGTTACTAAATAAAAAATAATTGATTTAAATAATCACTACCGGGTTCATGTCATTTTTTTATATGTGTGTCAAAAATATTTAAATATCCCCTTTACACTACACATCCATTAGAAATGTCACACAGATGACAGACAGACAGTCATGTCGTCTACATATATGAAATATTTCATGATAATTTTATTATGAGGGTTAATTTAAACTACTACTATAAAATGAAATATTTTAAAAAAATGCCGACAATGATATTTTCCCCTTTGAAAAAAATTTACAACATTTGTTACTTTGTTGTCAAGCGAGGAGGAGCTCTACATTTAACATTTTTTTTATTTTATTAAAAAATATTTGTTAAAAAAATAAATCAAATATAAATAACACAAGAAATTTGATTTTATTGCAATAAAGTGTTTAAAGAGCAGATAAAATAGCATCATTCAAGATAAAATGCTCCTATGGTATCTCATTAGAGATACTTTGACAGACTGCACTCATTGAATGATCATGCTCAATGTCTTCAAGATAAATGCCTAAGGAATTGAGTAAAGAGCCGGCATTAACCGTAAGAGACACTCATGTGAGATAAATGGTAAACAAACCTAAAGAGAGAGTGTTATCTTTACCATTGAGGGAGAATAAGAGTGTGTGTGAGTATCATACAACGGCATCTTATATTGAGTTCAGTTATTTGGAAATTTGAGCTACCTTGAGCATGCACAGGTAAGACACAAACAAAAACAACAACAACAAGAGGGAGATGAAGAAGAACAACAACAACAAACCAACATACCTTATGTTAGCTGAACGTGGGAAAAACTCTTGTTGTGTTGTGTTTTGGCTGGCTGGCTTGTCTTTAGAAATTAAACTCCCCTATAACTAGTGCACGCACACTCATGCACTCACACACCTATAGAAATGTTGTGTGTGCCTAACAAAAGGACATGAAGAGTGTTCTTTTGCTTTGGCTTCGTATAGTTGGGACTTAATGTTGTGTTGCGGCAGCTAAGGATCAGTATCCTTCAGGAGTTCACAACGAACGCATTACGCGGGAATCTTCGGATTTTTTTCTATCGATATTTAGAAAAAAAATTATAACAAAATATTAGAAAAAATACGAAGAATAAAAAAATAACAAAAACAACATTTTTTTAACTAAACAAAAAAACATTGTGCAATTTTTTCCAAACAAACTCTAAACCAAAGTTAAACAAAACAAGTTGTGTTTTATTACCAAAAAATAAATTATAAAACCAAAATCTGCTGCATATGGATTTATAAAAAATCACCCACTTGGATTATCACTACCCCATCACCAAAAATATATTGGATTATTTTATTAAATTAAAAAAAAAAAATAATTTCAACACCAACAAAAATGGATTACAAAAACGACATCCACTCCGATGATGACTTTGATAGTTACAGCGATAACTATCAGCAATCGAATTCTGGTCAAACATCACAACAACAATTTAATACCTCGCAGGGGCGTCTGGCCAACCCTGCCGGACTCTCAAAGGCTGAATTGAGAAAGGTAAGAATCAAAACAAATATTTAAAATATTCAATAAAAAATTAAAAAAAATCCAAAATTAAATTCAAAAAAATTGAAAATTAAAAGTATTCAAAAAATTTGAAAATTAAAAATATTCAAAAAAATTGAAAATGAAAAATATTCAAAAAATTTGAAAATTAAAAATATTCAAAAAAAAATTGAAAATCAAAAATATTCAAAAAAATTTGAAAATTAAAAATATTCAAAAAAAAAATGAAAAATAAAAATATTCAAAATATTTGAAAATTAAAAATATTCAAAAATTTTTAAAATTAAAAATATTTCAAAAAAAATATCAACATTTTGGAATATTAAAAATTTTCAAAAAATTTCAAAATTAAATACATTTAAAAATAATATCCAAAATAAAAAAATGGAAAATTAACAACTTTTAAAAATTAAAAATAACCCGAAAGCTTGAAAACAAAAAATATTCCAAAAAAATTAAATTAAAAATATTCAAAAAATAAAAATTAAAAAATTTAAAAAAAAAAATTTTTAATTTAAAAATATTAAAAAAATGAAAATAAAAAATATTAAAATTATTTGAAAATTAAATATATTCAAAAAAATGGAAAATTAAATTAATTTGAAAATAAAAATATTAAAAAAAATTGAAAATTAAAAATATTCATAAAATTTGAAAATTAAAAATATTCAAAAAAATTTAAAATTGAAAAAAATTGTAAATTAAAAATATTCAAAAAATTTGAAATTTAAAAAATCTTCAAAAAATTTTCAAAATTAAAATATTCAAAAAATTCAAAATAATAAAAAATGATGAAAAAATTTTAAAGATTATAAAAAATTTCAAAAATTCAAATTATTTTTTTTTATTTTTTTAGAAAAAATCTTAATTTTAATTTTTTTTTATTATTTTTTTTAAATTCCAAAATTTGTATTATTTAAAAAAAAATATTTAAAAAACAATTATTAATAATATTTTTCCTATTTTCTATTCTCTTTTTTTTAGACCAACAAACCAATTATGGAAAAACGCAGACGTGCCCGCATCAATCATTGCCTAAATGAATTGAAATCGTTGATTTTGGAAGCCATGAAGAAAGACGTAAGTATTTTTTACAATTCCAAACACTATCTACACTTTCAAAATTTCAAAAAACGGCAATACCCCTTTTGAAAATATTTAAATAAAATAGCACCCAGAAACCTGTTCCCTCTAAACAAAAAAATCCTCCTCCTGCAAAAGAATTCCAGAATTTTACGAAAAACCTGCGTGGGAACCTTTTCAAAAATTCATTGAAGAGTACCAAAAAAAAAAAAAAAACAACAACAACCAAATCATTCTTGCTAAACAGAGCAAACATCTCTCCCTCTCTCTCCCCCTACCTCCATCATTTTTCTTCGTGGGGTCTTGAAATGTGAATCTCTGTTCCCACCTTTTTTGGTATGAAGGTGGCTTAGCCATAGCCTTTAATTCGCAATGTCTGCATGCCTGGCTTTGTTGTTGTTATTATTTTTTGTCTTGGTCTTCAAAATCGTGTCTTGATCATAAACAACAAGGCCAAGATGATCTCCAAAAGATGCCACTAATTTTTTTCTTTTTATTTCATTTTACTTCTCTTTACTGCGTTGTTGTTGGTATTTTTTTCTTTTTATTTCATTTTACTTCTTCTCCTTTGAAATTTGTTTTTGCCTTTCCAACTGGCAATCAATTAGAAGCTCTCTGTGTGTTAAGCCCTTGACTGGCGGGACAACATTATCAATCCTTTTTTGTTGTTGTTGCTACTCCTTCATTCCACTGGTCTTCTTTCTGAAAAGAAACAGAGAAAAAAGAATGTGTGAAATTTTAAAACTGCAAAAAAATTGAACGTCTTAAGAAAATTAATGAAGGGCCATAAGTTTATGGGGCGGCTTTTTAACAAAGCCATGGGAATCTGCATCACACATTGGTCGATTTTCTCAGGGTTGCCAACTTCTTTTATAACCTTTATTTTATCTTTTTTAAAAATTCAGTTACTTATTTCCCGTTTTTTTTTTTCTCTCTTTTTAGCCTGCACGTCACACCAAATTGGAAAAAGCCGATATCTTGGAAATGACAGTCAAACATTTGCAATCGGTACAACGCCAACAATTGAGCATGGCCCTGCAAACCGATCCCACTGTGATCCATAAATTCAAAACTGGCTTTGCCGAATGTGCCGATGAGGTCAATCGTTATGTCAGCCAATTGGATGGAGTTGATGAGACAGTGCGCCAAAGATTGAACAGTCATTTGAATCAATGTGCTTCGAGTTTGGATCAAATCGGTGCCATGACCAATTTCAATAATGGCTACCAACGTAATGGCGGCCATGCCAATCTCTTTGGATCCAATAGCCTACCTCTACCAATGGGCAACAATGCCGGTACCAGTCTATTCCCCAGTTTGAGTCAAGATTTCAATACCACCCAACCCATACAAATGGGTGGTGTACAATTGATCCCATCACGTCTGCCCTCTGGAGAATTTGCCTTGATCATGCCCAATACGGGAAACAACAATCAAGCTGCCTCCTTGAATGTCAACACCAATTCCAACAGTGGTTTCCCAGCCTGGCCATCACAACCCGCCAGCCAGTCCACATCTCCCCAGATCAATGACTTTGCTGCCAATTTCAAGCGCTTGAGTGCATTCTCCAAGCCTCCCAGCACCTTGATTACACCACCCAAGGTGAATCCCAGCAATATGTATCCTCAAACCCATCTGACTGCCAACACCACCACTAGCTATCAACCCCAGCAACAACAGCAGCCAGCTTTCCACAATACCACCAGTCCACCTCTGAGCCCAATTTCTTCAGTATCTAGTCACAATGAAGATTCCATGATGCATAACAGTTCAGATTTCACCACCTCTCGTTCTGTATCGGAAAAACATAATAGCTTTTTGGGTGTGTTCAATACCCCACCCTCTTCGGCGGAGAACTCCTTTGTCCTGAGTGTTGCCCATTTGCAGCAGCAACAGGTTTCCTCCAGCACAAGTGATTTGAACACAAGCTCGGGGTCTTCAGGCAATAGCTCCTTGAAGCGTTCCTTCTCTGAGGCTGCTGATTCCAGCATTTGCTCTGAAGATGAACAATCGGCGAAAAAATATCACAAAGAACCACAAATGGAGGGTGAAGATCAGGACAGTATGTGGAGACCTTGGTAAATTCGGAAAGCAATCGATAATTGTTAATATAACTCCTTCGGATTTTTGTAAAACTTTTACGATCTAAATTTTTTGTGACATCTGCAAGATAATATGTTAATATCAAATTGTTAATAGAAATCTTTAAGGCCCTCGCCCATTTTTGTAAAACTCATACGATCTAATTTTTTGTCCCTTAATTTTGAAAAACAGAAAATTGTATTATTTTTATTTTTAAAATTATTTTTTATTATATATTTTCATTCTGTGATTTGTATATAATTTTTGTAAATTTTTTTTCAATTGCTTATCCTCCTTAAAAAATCATGTTTAGTTATGTTTTAATTCGTTTTGAAGCAATTAAGTTTTTATTATTATTGTATTTTGATTATTTTTACTATTATTATTTTGTTAATTTTAAGTATTTAATTAATTAATTTGAAATTCATTTTGATGTTAAACAATCGTTTGTTTGTTCGCAAAAAATGTTTTTAAAAAATATTTTGATTAAGTTTTGAATTGAAAAGAAAATTATTCATTATGAAAAAATATTGGAAATAAGAAAAAAACGCGTGTTGCATATTTTTATTTAAAAAAATGTTGTAACAAAAAATAAAATTAATTTTTAAAAAATATAATTTAGATGTTTTTTATTGAATACAAAGATCTGGGATTTTCGTATATATGCAACTTCCAAACGTTTATGAATTCGTACAGAAGAAGATTGAATTAAATCCAAGATAAGGATGATCAAAAAACTTAAATCGATTTTTGACCCAACTTTCAAACTAGGAGTTGAAAAACAAAGGCAATCCCGACATAACAGTCTTACAATGTCGGAGGAGTGAAGAGTTAGATACGATTGTGGTAGAAGTAAGGTCATTGCCAAGGCCACGACAAGAAAGAAAGTTGAAAACTGTTCTCCGGTTGAACCAGAAAATTAAAAACGCACAGCAAGCCGAAGCGTCTAAGGCTGACGTCAGAGTGCAAGCGAGAAGCGATGCGATATTACATGCTATAATAGTTCATGCTACTTCAATGCTATAGTATGTCAAAGTGAGTGCTATAGAGAGCAAAACGTGTTGTTGGTTTACATCGACTCAAGAAGGATTCAGAGGAAGAATGTTTCATATCGCAAAATATTTTCAAAGCTATTTTTAAATGAAAATTCATGAAATTAACAAATATTTCTGCATCGATTTTCCTTATTTTTTCCAAATTATTTTATTATTATTTAATTAAATTTGGAATTGAGTCCACAAAAATCCCGACAGATTCATCCATGCCACATTAAAATTCGATAAGATGCAAAAGAACGATGCCAAAAAACCGATCAATAGCGGTAAATTAAAATAATAAACAAAAAGAAACTCAAACAGAGCCATTGCACAACACGCTTTATCGCTTGCACTCGCTTGTAGCGTAGCATCCACTCTGACAGCTTTTGTGCTATGCCGTAAAAAAACACACGCATATGTTTATAGCGTCGTCTAGGGGCATATCATAGCATCGCTTCTCGCGTGCACTCTGACATCAGCCTAAGAATAAACCTGACTTTTCAATTCACAGTGACAACAGATCTTCCTTATCAACTTTTGATGTTAGTATCTAGGATTACCATAGTTTCTACGGAATACCATAGTTGTATTGAGACAGATCGTCCCTCTCAACTTTTGATGTTAGTATCTAGGATCACTATGTTTGCAACAAGCCGATTACCACATTCAAGGTAACAAATAAGAATTATACACCCGCCGCACGGGAAAGTATTGACGAAGCATAACAATACAGGACACATATAAGATGCCATGCAATTGGAATGAGTAAACTTTGAATCACTCAAAGAGAACCTCTTGGATTTCAAGTTTGGTGCCAGAAGTTATTAATAAAGTCGCCCAAGTACTGACCCCAGATATTCCCTATCAACTTTTGATGTTAGTATCTAGGATTACCACGGTTGCAACGGTTATGATTGTAATGGGGTATAACGGAAAATCAGTGCTCGATTCGGCAGAGGGAGCCAATGAAAAATCGACCACATCTAAGGAATGCAGCGATGACGTAAAAACCCTTTATCAAGGACCAATTAAGGGTAAAATCTTTTGTCAGCAGTCTATTAATAAGTGCACTGACGATAGATCTTACCTATCAACGTTTGATGTTAGTATCTAGGATTACCACGGTTGCAGCGAATAACGGCAAATCTGGGTTTGATTTCAGAAAAGGAAAACACGCAAGGAAGGGAGCAAACGCGTAAATCTCAGTTCGAGGAGGTATTGGCAACAAATTACAATACAGAATAAATATTAGAACATGATATTGGAATGAGTACACTTTAAATCCCTCAACAAATCCGATGCCAGGAGTATATTACTAAGTTCACACAAGTACAGATGACTCAGCTCACATATCAACTTTTGATATTAGTATCTAGGATTATCATGGTTGCAATGGCGTGTAACGGGGAATCAGTGTTCAATTCGAGACAAGGAGGTTGAGAAATGAATGCCACATCTAAAGCAGATAGCAAACGCTTAAATTATCCACTCCCGATTCGGGGAGGTAGTGTAGAATACACTTTTAATTCCTTAACGAGAACCTATCTTTCTCAGCAGACTACTAAAAAAAATCAGTCACGTACGGATACCACATCTAAGGATGACAACAAGCGCATAAATTAATCACTCTCGGTTCGAGGAGGCACTGAGACCATTTTATTGAAATTTTATATATCTTAACAATGGTTATTTTGTGGTCATATCTGGTGCTGGATATTTAATATCAATTTTGGTGGTAGTATCTAGGATTAAAATGGCTACAATGGTTTGTAAAGGAGAATCTGTTTTCGATTCCGAAGATTGAGAAACGACTACCACATCTAAGGAAATCATTAAGCATGTAAATTATCCATTTTAAAATCGAGGAATTAGTGGCAAAAGAAAAATGTGGAACACATATATGAGGCCATGGAATGAGTTCTCTTCCCTCAACAAGTATATATTGGGAGTGAAATCTGATGCCTGCTATCTATTAATAAGGTAAGCCGTCAATATCTTCCCCATTAATTTTTGATGTTAGTATCTAGGACCATTATGGTTGGAATGGCTGATAACTGTGAATCAAGGTTCGATTCCGGAGAGGGAGCCCGAAAAACGGATAGCACATCTAAGGATGATAGCAAGTGCGTAAATTAATCACTCTCAGTTCGAGGAGATACTAAGACCATGTTACTGATATTGAGACCATATATCTCTCATTAATGGATATTTTGAGGCCATATCTGGTGCCGGTAGCCTAATAAAATGTGTCGCATGTCTATGGAAAGCTGCAACTACGTAAACTATCACTTCCAACTCGGGAGGTAGTGACAAGAAAATAACAATACAGGACACATATAAGAGGCCATAAAATTGGAATGAGTACACTTTAAGTCCCTTAAGTTTGGCACCAGCTTCCTAATAATAATGTCACACAGGTAATGACGACATACAGAAAATTCATAATAAATTTTATGTTCAATAATATTTTATTGTATTTCACTTATAAATATATTACAAAATTCCTTAAAAAACTTAAAATCGTTAACATAATATGAACTTCCACCTTCCGAAATTTACTTTTACAGGAACCTGCCTAGATCACAGTTTAGATTGATTTATCCATAATTCAAAATCTCTTCTCTTCTTCGGATACCTTACTCGCTCTTCTCCTCCTCATCCTCGGCATAACCAAATAGCCTCTTCAACATATTATAGATAATCATTTGTCGTGTAACTTCCGATTCATATTTCATATATTCCTTAATGCGTTGTTCCTTATACAATAAATCCAGCAGGTCGAAAAGTTCAATTTCCAATTTACGCATATTCACATCCAATTCTGGTGAATGGGTACCGCTAAACAATGCCTGCATATAGATGCTGGATATTTTGGCCAGACATTCATCCAATTGATTGAGGGTAATGTCATCGGGACTGTGGGCCAAATTTACCGGTCCTGATAACTTCGGTGAGGGCCGATAATTGCCATAATCGTTAGTGTCATCATCATTAGCCGCCGAAATCGATTGGCAACAAATTGTCATCGAACAAACTACGAAAATTAGCGATTTCAAAGAAAACATTTTGCGTTTTAATTATTTATTTTTTTTGCTTTAATCTCTTTACGAAATATTCCGAAACGCCTGATTTGGAGACACTGCGTTGTAAATTTTTTTTAAACACAATTGAGCTATTCCCAAGAAAATACTCAACTGTTATGCTGACGAATATTAGAATACTATGAGAATTTGTCGTAGTTTTTATAGGGTTTGTGATTTATGTTTTGTGTTATCAGCAGCCGCATTTTTTCGGTGGCAATGTGTTGCGATGTTTGTTTTGTTTTTTGTTTCGAGCTTTTTAATTAAGCGTAAAGTAATAATAATAATAAAAAAAATGTAAAAGCTATATCACCAAGGTCACTTCCTTAATTGAACCAAACAACCATTCACAATTGTTTGCAAAAATGATTTTCACTATCAATGTTAAGGCTGCCGCGTTCGCACTTCCGTTTTACAGTGGTACGCGAAATTGTGACATATATTATAATATTTTAATTTGTGTGGGAATTGTGTTAGATGTGAAATGATCTCCACCAAAATACTTGGGAACCTAATTCTCATAAGGTAAGGGAAATAAAAGGTCAGATACACAGGTGGCCCCACTACAATTACATCCATATTATTTTCGTTAGCCCTAACCTTCAAAAGACGGGCTATAAAATCATTAAAAAAACTCCTCCCGAAATAATTCTGAATGAGGTTCTATTGAACTTCTAGTAACGTATTGATCGTATGGTCTCTTACCGATGACAAATGCTCGCCTATCAACTTTTGATGTTAGTATCTAGGATTACCAAGTTTGCTACGGTTAAAGGCGTATCAGTGTTCGATTTTCGGTGCTGAAGCCTGAGAAACCAGATCTAAGGAAGGCAGCAATCGCTTAAATTTTCCCCAACCAGATCGAGGACATAGTAAATTATTCTGCCGGTAGTCTACTAATAAGATCAGGTTCTTACAAAAAATCTTCCCTATCAAATTTTGGTGGTAATATCTAGGATAATAATGCTTCGATGGGAAACTACGCATTGGGATTCGATTTCTGAGACTTGTTCACTCACTCTTCGAGAACCTTATGGAGGTCAGGACGTTTGCCAGCATAATAGTGTATAAGGTCTTCTAGGCAATGACGAAAGATCTTCCCTATCCGTTTTTATATTATTATCTAGGACGAATTAGACTTCGATTTTGAAGAAGGTTATCACACCTAAGGAAGGCAGCAGTTACACATCCAGCTCGAGCAGGTATTGGCCAAAATAACAGGTAAAGTGTAGTGCCAACAGTCTATAAATAAGTCCAACTTTTGTTGTTAGTGTCTAAAACTATCATGGTTGCAATGAATAAAGGTGAATCAGCACCGCTACTATCAGCGTCTTGTAGAGCGTAGTGGTCTAGCGAGAACTGACCTTGTTTCTGAATTGCTTACTTAGACCATAGTAGCATCTGTTGGCCAATCTGTTGTTTCTGAATTGCTTACTTAGACCATAGTAGCATCTGTTGGCCAACACTATTCTCCTCCGAATTTCAAAACTGATACCATTAGTTTCATTTGTGGTGGTACCAAGGTATATAAAATCGTTCACTACTTCGAAGCTGTAGTTCTCAAGTTCCACACTTGATCCGAGACTACTGGACGACTTGCACGTTGATACATAGACCATAGTAGCATCTGTTGGCCAACACTGTTCTCCTCCGAATTTCAAAAGTGATGTCATTAGTTTTATTTAAGGTGGTACCAAAGTATGTAAAATCTTTCACTACCTCGAAGCTGTAGTTCTCAAGTTCCACACTTGGTCCGAATGTACTGGACGATTTGCACGTTGTTAACATCAGCTTCACCTTATCGCCATTTACAGCCAGACCCACTTTGGCAGACTCCTTTTCAATTTGTTCAAAGGTGGCTGTTACCGCTCTCAATGTTCGGCCCATTATGTCGATGTTACCAGGTGATTAACATATGTTTTTTGGTGTACATAGTGTCATTTCTGCTCACCTTTGTCTCTCGCATGATCTTTTCCAGCGGGAAATTAAGAGATGACAAGACAAACTGTCAACTTGTCTGAAACCTCGTTCGGCATTAAAGGGGCTCCGATAGGTCCTTTCCGACTTTAACTACAGCTGACATTGTGCCACTTAAAGTTATCCTGCATAGACGTATTAATTTTGCATGGCTTTTAACGCCTCTGAACGGATAGAGCTGTCGAATGCGGTTTTATAGTCCACGAATAGGTGAAATGTGTCTATGTGTTTTTCGTGGGTCTTTTCCAAGATTTGGCGCAATGTGAAAACCAAGTCAATGGTGAATTTGCCAGCCCTGAAGCCGCATTGGAATGGTCCTATAAGTCTAGGACAAGTAGTCTATAAATAAGGTGGCACAGGTACTGATGGCAGGACTTCTAAATCAACTCATGATTATCATGGCTTCGGAAGGAGATTCCTGAGAAACGAGTAGCACATCTAAGGAAGGGCGCAAACATGTTCCACATCGAGGAGGTAGTGACAAAAATAACGCAATTTAGGACAAATATTGGTGCCTATAAATTATTCTCTATCAATATTTGATGTTAGTATCTAGGATTTCGATTCCGGAGAAGGAACCTGAGAAAAGGCTACAACATCTAAGGAAGATAGCATGGACGTAAATTATCCACCCTAAGTTCAGGGAGGTAGTGGTGAAAAATAATATAGGACACATAGTACAGGCCTTGTAATTGGAATGAGTACACACGAAACTCCTTAAGAAGTACCTTTTGGAAGGTGTCAACCCGGAAGGGGCCAAGTTCGGCGACATCAGTCTATAAATTATTCTCTATCAATTTTTGATGTTATTATCTAGTATTTCTATACCGAAAAAGGAGCCTGAGAAAAGACTACAACATCTAAGGAATATAGAAATGACGTCAATTGTTCGCATGAAAGCTCGGAGATGTATTGGGGAAACGGAACAGGTCAAGTTCGGCGACAGCAGCCTATAAATTATTCTCTATCAATATTTGATGTTAGTATCTAGGATTTATATATCGGAAAAGGAGCCTGAGAATAGACGCAAACATCTAAGGAAGATAGCAAGGGCGTAAATTATACACCTCAAAGCTCGGGGTGTTAGTGGTGAAATATAATATAGGAAACATAGTGCAGGTCTTGTAATGGCAATGAGTACACATAAAACACCTTAACAGGGGCCTTTTCGAGGCTATCAACCCGGAAGAGGTGAAATTCCGCGACAGTGGTCTATATATTTTATTCTCAGTCAATTTTTGATGTTAGTATCTAGGATTTATATACCGAAGAAGGAGCCTGAGAAAAGACTACAACATCTAAGAAGATAGAAATGGCGTAAATTATACACCTCAAAGCTTGGGGAGGTAGTCCTTAACAGTGACGAAAGTATAACAACAACAAAAAACACAAAATTGAAACGCTATAAAAATAGTTATTGTTGTTTGACTCAAATATCCTTAAGTATCCTGGGAAATTCTCACAGGTTTCAATTGGAAGACACGAACGCGACACAACAAAGCAACGATCAAAGGCTATGTTTTTCCAAGGAAATGCACACACACACTCACACTGCATGAATCTACATGAATATTTTGAATAAGCGATAAACCATGGCAAAACATAACAAATAACAACAGCAACAAAAACAATAACAATAACAAACACAAATCACTACAAGGAAATGTTACAACAACAACAACAAAGGCAAGGTAAATCTACACAGTTAAATCAGCCATAAGGATCTGTGTGACAACACACAATGCTGCACTTGTTAGCCGCAGATAAATAGAGGGAGAGAAAGAGCGAAAGAAAGAGAGAGAGAGTGAGTAAGAGCGAGTTATTTGATTAAGCAGAGCAAATGTATAACAGCCGATAACAGCATCTTGCAAAAGGTTAACTGGCCGACCAAGCAAACAAACAACCTGACTGTCTGTCAGACAGTCAGAAGGACGTACAGACAGACAGTCAGAACAACCGACAAGTAGTTGCAATACCAACAAGAAAATCAAAACACACACACACAGATCAGTACGATTTTCGTATGGAAAGGATCTGTGGGAATTTTTCGAAATACCAGTCAGACAGCCATCCAGCCAAATAACCCGACAGCCATCGAACAGACGGAACAAGTGAAATGGTATTCGAAAAAAAAACAAAACCATCAACAATAAATGATGTGCATATTCGAGGTGGTAGTGTTGTTGTTGTTGTTCTGGTTTATACAGGCGATTGTTGTTGCCGATAATGAAGTTGGACGGACGAACGGACGGACAATGATCATGAGAATGATCGTGTGATCTTTTTTTCTCGATTTCATCAATGCCTCTGTGCGGGAAGAAAATCAGCAAAGATAAGTGAAAGGTTGGTTGGTCCGTTGTAAAGGAGTAGCCGTAAAGGAGATATTCTGATTATTGTTGGCTTAAATGATTTTAATAACTGATGAAATTATGCATAGGGTTGCCATGTGGGGATTTTTTTTTGGGTGGGGAAACAATGGAAATTTTAAATTTTATCTTAAATTGTTATTATTTTGTTATAAACTATTAAACACATATAAATCAAATATAAAACTGTAATACAAAAAGTTTTCTATAAAAACTGTTATACAACAAAAATGATTAATAACAAAATAACTGTTATACAATAGTTGTCTTGAGAGAAAAGTTGATACATAATCATTTTTACTTATAAATGTTTATTCCTTACCTATTTTTCTATTCGCAAAACTGTTATACGAATATTTTGTAATAACAAAATTTAAAAAATAACTGTTGTACAAACAATATATTTAAAGAAAAAATGTTATAAAAAATCTATTACGAAAACTGTTATACGAATAATTTCAAATAAGAAAATCTCAAAAAAAGAACTGTTATACAAATAATTTCTTGAAGGAAAAACTGGTATACACTAAATTTTGTGAAGAAATATTAGTTCTTAATCTTTTTTCTATTAGCAAAACTGTTATACTAGTATTGTTAAGAAATAAAATATGTTATAGGATTCGTTTGTCATTATATATAAACTGTTATACAACATAATTGTCACACAAAATTTTGTTATACGACTCATTTTCAAAAATTTCCTATATGTAATTCTGTTATATGAGACATTTTTTATTTTATAATCTGTTATACTGTAACATTTAAATTAAATAAAACTGTTATACAACAAAATTCTTGTAAGAAAGTCTGTTATACAATAAATTTTGTGAAGAAATATTAGTCATTAATTTGTCTTCTATTAGGAAAACTGTTATACTAATATTCTTAATGAATAAAATATGTTATACGACTCGTTTGTTATTATATAAACTGTTATACAACAAAAATTTCCACAAGACGATTTGTTATCTAAAAAATATTTATACCATAAATAAAATTTATATACGACTTATTTTTTGTTATATAAACTGTTATATAAAATTCTCAAAGTTATATTCTGTTATACAACATCTTGTATATAATGTTATACGGTACTAATTTTTATTACAAAATCTGTTATACAACAACACTTTAAATAAATAAACTGTTATACATACAATTTTTATGTTATATAATCTGTACAACAGTATATTTTCAATATGCAATTCTGTTATACAACAATTGATTTTTATTATATAAACTGTTATACAAATTTTTCTTTAAAAATGTGTAATAAAATAATTTTGTTATAAGAAAAAAACTGTTATACACGAAGTTTTTAATAATAAGAATATCTGTTATACAAAACAATGCACATTTAAATCTGTTATGTGCCTAACTGTTATACAAAATGTTTTTTTTATAAGATAAACTGTTATACAATATTTTTTTATATAAGAAAATCTGTTATGCGACTAATTAGAGGCAGTCAGTTATAATTTTCTTATGCAGGAAATTATAATATGATTTTTTATTAAAAACTGTTATACAAAATATTTTTATAAGAAAATCTGTCATACGACTAATTTTTATGTAAAAAATCTGTTATACAAAATATTTTATACATGATTATCGGTTATACAAAAGGATACCCCTACAAAAATTATTTATCAGAAAAACTGTTATACAAAAAATTGTATATTAAAACTGTTATATGCAAAAATGTTAAAAATCTTTTATTTATAAATTGTTGTTTAACAAATTTGGTTAAGATAAAATGTTATACAAAATATATTTATATAGGAAAATCTGTTATACTTCTAATTTGCTTTGAGGCAAACTGTTATATTTGTTTCTATGTAAAAAAACCTGTTATACAAAGCAATTAATATATGATTAACTGTTATATGTAAGGATACCCCTACGTAAATTTCTTTATAAGAAACTTTTATACAAAATATTTTTATAGGACAATCTGTTATACGACTTATTTTCTTTGTGGCAATCAGTTATACTTTTTTCTATGTATAATAGTTTTATATTATTAACTGTTATATGTAAGGATACCCCTACGTAAATTTCTTTATAAGAAACTGTTATACAAAATATTTTTATAAGAAAATCTGTTATGCGACTAATTTTCTTTGTGGCAAACTGTTATAATTTTTTCTATGTAAAAAACTGTTATACAAAGTAATTTATATACATATAAGATTATATGTTAGACAAAAAGATTGCCCTACAAAAAATGTTAAAAACTGTTATACAAAAAAAAAAAATATCTATAAACAACTGTTCTATACATTTTTTTTAAATCTGTTTTACAAAAAAATTTGCATTGGAAAATCGGCTAGAAAATAATTATAGTATAAGAAAAATTGTGATGCAAGAAATTTTCTATAAAAAAACTGTTATACTAGCAAATTATTTAGTACGCCACTTTGTGTCCCACATTCAAAACGAAAATTTGGCAACTCTGTTTTTTCCTTTGCTTTTAATATCAGAAAATTACCTTGCATTGGGATAACTGCAGTCAAACAAACGACCGACCTGCAGTGAGAGTTCGTTTTTTTTTTCTCAGCTCATATTTCAAATGTGTGAGAAAACCGAAAAAATTATAATAATAATTACAATAACGACAACAATAACAACAACACCACCAGATAAAAGACGATTTTTGCATCCAACGTTCGTTCAAGGAACGACTGGCAGAACACGATCATCATCTTTGTTATTATTTTCTGTCTGGCACAAAACGAAAATGTAACAACACAACGAAGGTGGAGGCGTATGTGAGAACCTGAAGATGTTCTTCGTTTTGAGTTTGGTTTTTGGCAGCCAAAAGGATAAATCAGGTTTATTCACACACACACACATACATACCCACTCCTCTCATAAATATTGCTGTGGGAACAAGTGTGTGAAAAAAAATAAGATTTCAATGGCTGCGGATTCAAGAGCATCGATAAATAATCCCACGAAGCGAGTGTCTGACACACGACGAAGACATCGACGTTGAGAGTTTTATTTTTCTTTTCTTTTGTGTGTCTTTAGGAGATCGGGGGAGATCAGCGAATAAAAGAAAAAGGATATGGAATTATAATTAGTTCCGTTTAGCAGGTTTTTGAAGTTCTTCCAGAGGTTTGGATTTTTTTAAAAATATTTTTGAAGTGCTTTGCTGTGTTGGATTTTTATACCCTACACAACTATATTGTCAGGGTATTATAGCTTTGTGCAGCCCCAAGAGTTTGTAACGCAGCGAAATATTGGTCCTAGACCCAACTTTAAGTATACCGATCGTCATATCTCGACTAGCTGAGTCGATCTAGACATATGTGTCGATCCGTCCGTCCGTCTGTCCATTATAATTTGTAAACACGATACAGGCCACAGTTCACGAAATTTTGCATGTAGGATGGGTTCTGCCCAATGAAGACCCCTATGGTTTTTGGTAAAGATCGGTCAATATTTAGGGGATAAAATGGACCAAATACTAAATTTTTGTCGGTTTTTCTGGTCGCTCTAGAGGCCGCAATTATGACCCAAACATCGCGAAATTTTGCATGGAGAAGGGAATCGGGCCAAAGAATAAGCATGCCTGTTTTCACAAAGATCGGTCAATATTTAGCAGGTTAATGTTTACTCCTGAAGGACATAGACCCGAGAAGTTCCTCATGGATATACTATCATCCATGAGGAGTGGTTGACCTTTAAATTGATACCAATTATGTTGTCGTATGTACTCGGATGTGGACGTTAAACTTCAATTTTCACAGGATCTTACGTATTCAGATATTGTTTAGTAACCCATTACAACACTAGAGGGCGAAAATATAGCACTGTTCGCTTTGAAATTTTCCATGAGGATCCAGGTATGGTTTTGGGTGATTATCAGATAATAATTTTTTGATGAAGTGGACCGATAACTTAATTTTTTGTTTTTTTTTTCGAGTCGATCTATAGGCCACAAGCCGAACATCACAATACAACCTACGGTGAAAGGCATCTGGACAAGTAATTAGAAGTTCTGCACTGAATATTGGAAATATTCGGAAAATATGTCAGTGTAAGGAAGAAGTTGATCTCTAATCGGTCAAGAGGGTCCAAATATCACGAACTATATATTTTTCATTCTGAATTTTTAAACAATATTTTTTCAATTAAAATTAAAAAAATATTTTTTAAAAAATTATTTTTTTTAATCTTAAACGTCTATGAATAAAAAATACGTTTCCCAATGTCATTGAAAATCCCACGCTATTCGGCAAAAATTAACGTGTCGTATACAATTACAATATTTACAAGTTCTTAGTGATCCTTTTTTTATTTCTCAAGGCATTGACATTGCCTTCTTGAGGTCTTTGCATTACAAAAGGATTTCAAACAAACGAACACACCACACACACACCCATGCACAAGCAAGCAATTCCATGGGTATATTTTCTTGTTCGTGAGAAAACGGCGGGAGTGAGAATATCGAAATTTAAATTAAAACAAATTTGAACAGGTACATCATTGGCAACAGACTTAAGAATCCTGGGAATCAATGCATCGGCATCTTTTTTATGATTTCAATAACAATAAAAAACAATTGTTTAAATCTCGGGTTAATACAATTAAATTTTGCATTTTTTCTCCTTTGTTTGTCGCATTCATTTGTCACACAAAGGAGTAGTGTCTTACCTTACATGAAACTGCGTGTGTGTGTGACAGTGTGTTTTGAGAAAAAGGATTCCTATGGTGAAGTCATTGCTTTTTTGGTTGAATTGTGTTTGGTGGGTTTATGCACTGTCCTCTGGCAATTATCCTGTGGAGTTAAACTTCTCTTTGTTTTTATTTCTTTTTTTTGAATTTTTTTTTTTTCAATTATTTCATTTGAATTGATGTCTCTATTAAGAAGAGTATTTCTTTTGTTGTCGTATGGCAAATGGAATATTGGCAAGCGTGGCATGAGGTCCTAATGGTAATTGTATTATTGTTTTGTATTATTTTTATTGGAAAAATCGGGCTGGTAGCCACCCACAATTTATTTGTAAAATGTCCGCAGGCATTAGAAATCCCTAAAATAAAAATTGTATAGTTATTGTGGATGACAACTATCCTATCCATTAAAAGATGTTATGGTGTATAACTAAATATCCCATTTTTTACTTTTCCAATTTTTAAAAATTTATTTTCTATTCCTTTTGCAGATTTTTCCCATTTTGCCAAAAGACCCCTATATGATCGATTATTACGGTTGTTTTATGTGTTATCTGGTTACACTCTCCATTATATGATTAAATGTGATATCATTCATTGATACATGAAGTTAATGAAGTAGAAGAAGAAGCATGGTTTATTTATCAATCAATAACTAATGCTTTCGCATTAGTTATAATCTCAATGAGAAGAATTATTATTATTTTTTTTAATAAAGAAACCAGTATGTGAACATTCATGTTCTGTTTTAACCTATATTCGCATACAATTTATTTATTTTAAATTATGGATTATTATTAGCGTTTGTTTTGTGTGTTCTCTGCATAAACTCTCCATCATATTGTCAAATTGCCTATCATTCATTGTTACATGAAGTTAATAAAGAAGAAGAAGAAGCAGCAGAATAACCGACAATGCAATTGGTAGAAGAAGACATTTTTGCATTTGTTATAATTTCAATTAGAATAATTATTAATTTTTTTAATAAATAATATAGAATGTGAACATTCATGTCCTGTTTTGACTAATATTTGCATACAATATATTTTTTTTTAAATGGTGAATTATTATTAACGTTTGTTTTAAGTGTTCTCTCTCCATCATATGGTCAAATGGGCTATCATTCATTGTTACATGAAGTTAATAAAGAAGAAGCAGAATAACAACCGACAATACAATTGGTAGACGCCGCTTTCGCATTTGTTATAATCTCAATGAAAATAGTTATTTGTTTTTTTAATGTGAACATTCATGTCCTGATTTGACCTATATTCGCATATAATTTATTTTTTTAATATTGGATTATTATTAACGTTTGTTTTAAGTGTTCTCTGGTTACTCTCTCCATCATGTGGTCTAATGGGCAATCATTCATTGTTACATGAAGTTAATAAAGAAGAAGAAGCAGCATAACAATCGGCTTAATTCGCGCAAAAACTAAAAGAAAGCAGGCCTTTAATAATTTCATTAAAGAAAACCTGAAAAAAATTATATAATTATTGTGGATCACAACTATCCAATACATTGGGATGTGGCCATGGTATACAACTGAATATCCCAATTTTTTTAACTTTTTCAATTTTCACAATTTTTTTTCCTTTTTCAGATTTTTCCCTTTTTGCCAAAAAACCCTATATCTACATTTTATTTCACTGTCTTCCTGTCTCTCTGATAAATGTCTGCATTTAATAAAAAAAATCACTTTTACCTATATCCCGTTATATCCTCAACAAGTCACATCCTTTAAAAAGGCAAACAGCATCCTTGATATTTACTTCCTGTTTTCCGCCAAGCACACACACAAATCAATAAAATCTGTCTGGAAATTTCAAAAACCTGCCACCACCACCAACACAACCTGTTAACATTTGGTGGTGGAAATCCTTTCATTTTTCACTCATCCTTCTGATATCTTCTCAAAAAAAAAAAACACTAAACACCATATGTATAGCCATAACTTTCAAATCATCAAAAAACAAATTTCATTTTCATTACAATCCCCCCTTCAAAAAAAGAAAATAAATATCCTTTTTTGGAATCCTTTTTTAGGGAATCGTTTTTTGATCACACAACAAGAAAACACATTGTGTGAAAGAAAACACGAAAAAAAACAACAACCAACAGCAGCAATAATTTGGTGTAAAACGCAGCTAATTTGAAAACATCCTCCTACATCCTTTTTGAGATGTTATTATTGTTGTTTGTTTTTCATTATAGGCTCTTAAGTGAGTTCTCACCGCGAGGGGAAAGTGTTTTCATTTATGTGAAGTGGTTGTAAATCTCACCCATACTGTTACTTGCGAGAAAATTATTATATTAAGGATTGAAATTTACTTCCGTTTTTGTCCCGCCACGAAGCAGGTGAAGTTGTAATGATGAAAATCTAAATTGAAATTTATTTTGATTTCTTATTCCAATATAAATTTTATAAAATGTTCATAAATATAAAATATTTATAAAGAACTGTGGTCTCTATATATAAATAGGTTTTTATAAAGACCTGTGGTTTCTCACAATTGCTTAAGACTAAAATAGTTATACAAAAACATATTTCTTCGCAAAATTCCAAAAAATAATTTTCTAATAATTCTATATACATTATTGGTTTTTTAGTTGGCAACTCTTATATCGTTATCACATATGCTATCATGTAATTGATAGAAAAAGAAAAAGCATCTGTTATTATATCTGAGAATGATAAGAAATATTTATTTTTTTAAATAATAAATTACATGATTTTTCCTGTAATTAATATAAATGTAGAACAAATTGCGAACATTTTTATTAAAAAATAACAATTTCTCTCCCACCAATGACCTCCCCAATAAAGAATAATATTCCAATAAGATTCCAGTGCATTTGACATAAATGGCTTTCTAGTTGGCAACTCATCAATTTATACTTGCGCTATTGGTGTTATCAATGCAATTGGTATAAGAAGAAGCATTTGCATTTGTTATAATCTATATGAGGAGAATTATTTATTTTTTAATAAATGTTTTGTCTTATATTCGCATAAAATTATTATTTTTTTAATGCAGGATTATTATTAACGTTCGTTTTATGTGTTCTCTGGTTACTCTCTTCATCATATTGTCAAATATGCTATCATTCATTGTTACATGAAGTTAATAAAGAAGAAGAAGCAGCATAACCACCGGCTTATTGGTGTTATCAATGCAATTGGTCGAGAAGACGCTTTTGCATTTTTAATAATCTTAATGAGAAGAATTATTTATTTTTACTAAAAAATATAGAATGTGAACATTCATGTCCTGTTTTGAATTATATTCGCATTAAATTAGGTTTTAAAATTCGGGATTATTATTAACGTTTGTTTTATGTGTTCTCTGGTTACTCTCTCCATCATATGGTCAACTTGGCTATTATTCATTATTACATGAAGTTAACAAAGAAGAAGAAGCAGCTTATTTCGCGCAAAAACTGAAAGCAAACAGACCTTAATTTTGCATATTTATTAAAGAAAACCTGAAAATGAGAACACCACCCACCCATTTGCTAAGCTTTACCGAGCAAATATATAACTTTCAGATATGTGCAACAGATTTTGCCTCAAGTCTGATATGTATTGCCTCCGATAAAAAATTGATATTAGGGTTAGCAAGATTCCCGGTAAGTAAGCTCAATTGTTGTTGTTTTTGAAATAAAAAATCACTCATGATTTACTCCATTTCAGGAAGAATCAGAAAACGATACCTTTGAATGGGAACGCCTAAAGGATATATACAATGAAAGTCGTTGTCATGCCCTTGCATTTCATCCAGAAACATCACTGATGTCCGTACCCAAAACTGTTACCTTCTGTTCAGCTGGTGCTGATTTTGTGCTACGTATCTTTCGTACAGATTTACAAAATGCCGATACTGTGCAGGCTTTAAAGGCCCATACAAATTATGTTAATGATATTGCCTGGGATACGGAAGGAGAATTTTTAGCCTCCGTTAGTGATGATCATTCATGTAAAATCTGGTCATCGGAGTCGCATTATGAAAATGTTATAACATTTTGTTTATCATCGGCTGGTATGTCGGTTAAATGGCATCCCGAGGAACCGCATAAAGTTTTAGTGGCAGAGAAAAAGGGTGTTGTCCATTTGTATAATGTACGTTCGCAACAGGCAATTATTTCATTGGAAGCACCACGAGGACCCCTAATGTCTGCCGATTGGTCGCTGAATAATTGTCATTTTATAACGGCGTTGGCATATGGTGATGTAGTCACATGGGATTTATCACATAAACCCTGTTCCCCGTCAGATGTTAAACAGGTCCATGAAGATGGTGGTAGATGTGTACGATTTGCACCCAACACCGAATTGGTAACGGCTAGTATAGGAAGACCGGATATTACTTTGAAAGTGTTTACGGCCAAATCTTCAGTGCCATTAGTGGAAGCCGGTTTGAAATTGTATGCTGGCCTATGTTGGCATCATCGTTTGCCATATGTGGCTGCGGCATATGATCGTAAGCTGGGCTTTTGGAAAGTCCAATTTAAATAAGAGGTATATTTATTATGTCAATGTTGTACGTGTTTTATTTTTATGAAGCTTTTTTAATGAATACATAAAGATTTTTCTTATACAAAAATTACAAAAACACAAGTGGTGTATTGGGGAGGAGAGGATGGGGGCCGGAGAGAGATTAAGCACTATTTACTGAGGCCAAATATTCCTTGTAGCGTGTTTCTTGTTGAGCCTGGAGTTTTTGCAATTTCTTCAATTGACCTTTGCTTACTTCCTTGCCTTCTTTGTCGTGAGTGGGAAGGCCCTGGAAAGATATAAAATTTATGTATTAATTTTTTGAATTAATTTTGTGGATGGCGAACTTACATTTTCATCAAATTTCGAATACTTGTCGGTTTCTTTTAAAAACATTTCCTTGGGATTGATTTTCTTTTGTGCCTCCTTGGCCGCAGCCGCGTCAGCTGCTGCCTGCTTCTTACGTTCCTTTTCCGCTTGGCGTTCTGCTTCTGCTAATTTCTTCATTTCCCGCTCTTTCAGTAGAGTCTCCTTGTCTACCAATTTAACAGCATATTTACCACCTTCCTTATCTTCCAAACGTACACCCAAATTGGGTAGAACATCATCCCGCAGTTCATCACATAATTTTAAAATATCAGTGGCCTTCAGTTGTTTGGCTAATTCACGAATTTGATTTCTAAATTCAGCAGTTGCTTCAACATAGGGTAATATGGTGGATTCCAAATCGGCACCTGCACCCTCTGTTGAGCCACCGCCTACAGGGAAGCCCAGTGAAGTTTTTTGATTAATTGCACCGAAGATGCGCAACAGGTCCGTAATGTAGGTGGCAATTTTACGTAGCAATAATGAATTTAAACGATTTTTGTTGTCGCGAATGTAGATATTGGCAGCTGTTACCAAATCTCGGACAGCATCCAAGGCACTACGGGTATCAACGTTATCTGAAAAAGAAAACAACAATTTTTATTAAAAAAAGGGTTTTTTTTTTGAAGAATTCCTTTCTTACCACACAAGGCATTGTGTACCGCACTCCTTACTTCATTGAATTTCTTTTGAAGACCAGCTTCAACTTCCGACCAGGCATCAAATTGTTTACGTGGTTCACTGGAAGTCACATGGCGGGTCAAGTCTTTAACATTAAGGAAGAATTCCTATAGAAAAAATGCAAATTAAATTGCTATTTGAAATATATCGAAATTTCTTCACTTACATTCAAGAACTTTTCATATTGTATTGCCATATCCATGGTATTATCCGAGTAGTCCAAAGTATCCTTCCACGAATGCAATAAAAATGCCAAACGCAATTGACATGCCGTGTGCTTTTGCAAAGCCTGTTGGATTGTAATAAAGTTTTTCAACGACTTTGACATTTTACATCCCGCAATTGTCAGATGTCCTGTATGCAGGAAATATTTCACCCATTCTGCCTCATCAAAGGCAGCCTCAGATTGTGCCAATTCATTGTCATGATGAGGGAATTTAAGATCCACACCACCTGTATGTATGTCAAATTGTGGCCCGAATATATCTGAAGCCATGGCGGAACATTCAATATGCCAACCGGGACGTCCTTTACCCCATGGACTATCCCACCAGGGTTCACCAGCCTTACTCGCTTTCCACAAGGCAAAATCATTGGGTGATCTTTTTTCGGTGAGACGTTCTTCGCCCAATGACAGATCACCTTCACCCTCTTGCAGGGACTTTGTGTCACCATAGGCCTCGGGCACCAATTTGGCATAGAAATGCTTTTCCTTGGCATCAAAGGCATTGACACTGAAATATACCGATCCATTGGCAGCATAGGCCAGACCATTGTCAATGATGCGTTGTATAAAGGCAATGATTTGGGGTACATATTCGGAGACGCGGGTGAGGACATCTGGAGGAAGGATCTAAAAATCAAAGTTAATAAATATTTATATTATATAGAAAAAGGATTCTTGGACTCACATTCAATGCCTGCATATCCTTGTGGAACTGATCCTCCCAGTAACGTGGCAGTGATTCAAAAATGGCATTATCATTTATTGTGGAACCTTCATTTTTGTCCAACCAATCCGAAATGGGATCCTTGGCCTCGGCGAGATAAAAATCACGAGCCTTGGTAATTTCTTCCTGGTTACCCGAAGCCACAGCCTTGGCCAACAACTCCACAGCATTATTCAAGCGTTCATATTGTTTATCCAACATAATCTTTTTATCGGGATCGGTATTTTTGGCACAAGTATTTTTGAATTGTTCCAAAACCACACTTTGATCTGCCAGCAGTTGCTCCAGCGGAGATGTCGTGGCTTTTTTGGCATACACCTCATACAAGTGATTTTGCCTTGCCCGTTTTATTATCTTATCATCAATGTCGGTGATGTTCATAACATAATGAATGTTGTAGCCAAAGTAATCGGACAAGACACGTCTCAAGATATCAAATGAGATGTAGGAACTAGAACATACACCAACCAATAGATTCCAATTAGAATTCATTTTTCCCAAAATCATTTAACAAAAATTCCTTACCGTGCATGCCCCATGTGGGAGGCATCATAGACAGTGGGGCCACAGCTATACCAGGTAACATTGTTGCCATCCAGGGGCACAAATTCCTCCTTTTGCCTTGTCAAACTATTGTATAAACGTAATTTGGGAGATTCACCGGCAGTTGGTGGTTGCCACAGAGGCTGTTGACGTTTGGCCATTTCAAAAACGTTAAACAGGAGCAGCTATACAATTAAAAATCAATCGTCCACGTTACAATTCAACCACAGATGGTTTGGTGGCTCACACCGAAAAAAAAACACTCAAATGACTGTTGACTGTTGTCAGAGAGGCGTGATGTGAGAGACATCTGTTATTTATGTTATCGATAACAAATGTTATCGTTTTACCGGCATTGTGAAAATACATCTTATGGCTCTCTCACACATTCTTCGTTTTTTAGAGAGAGAGGGATACCATAACGGAAAGAGTGGGAGTTTTTTGTGTGTGGTTTATAACTGTACTAATTATACTCATAATTCTCTCAATTGAATTTGTTTATATGACATATCAAACGGCTAACTGTTGTTATCCATTTATCGTTAATGTAAATGATATCATGTGAAGCCCCCACTATGTAATCAATGCATTGTGAATGTCAGGCATTTGACAACCGGCAAAGTAGAACAAGAGCAACTCATTCATTAATTTTGTTGGCAAATTAAACTTAAAATAAATAAACAAATTCAAAGATTATTAAACAAATAAAATGCAGGATAATATTCTCATCTAATTTGGTGATAGATTCACATTGAAAAGAATTAAAGAGAGAGTGTAAATAATTAGAAAAAAAGGGTTCCCAATTGAAGAGAAGCCACAAAAATGCTTGTGCCATTTATCGCAATTTTCCTGCTAACCGGTGGGATTACTGCTCTGGAAGCAGATCCAAATGGCTACATAGCATATTGTCCATGCATGGGTATGTAATATCATATAAAATACATTCTTTAAACCACTTCTACGTAAGTAATTGTTCTAGGTCGTTTTGGCAACCAAGCCGATCATTTTATTGGCGCCTTGGCCTTTTCCAAAGCCTTAAATCGCACCCTCATCCTCCCACCATGGGTTGAATATCGCAAGGGAGAAATGCGTTCAATACAAGTACCATTTGATAATTATTTCGATGTGGAAGCCCTGCAGGCCTATCATCGTGTCATACTTATGGCTGATTTTATGGACGAATTGGCACCCACAATTTGGCCGGAGGCTAAACGTATATCATTCTGTTATATGGAACGTAAAAGTTTCGCCAATAAAGTAGCGGATATTAAACCCGGTTGTCATGCCAAGGAAGGTAATCCTTTTGGTCCGTTTTGGGATACATATGACATCGATTTTGTGGAATCGGAATTTTATGGCCCTCTACATTTCGATGTACATCATAGTAATATGCCCGAAAGGTGGAATGAAAAATATCCACCCGCCAAATGGCCTGTGATAGCTTTTACAGGAGCACCCGCCAGTTTTCCAGTGCAAAAGGAAAATCGCGATATACACGAATACTTGAAATGGAATAAAAAGATGCGTGAAGCAGCCACTAAATTTATTAAAAACACCCTACCAAAGGGTGCCTTTTTGGGTATACATCTACGTAATGGCATCGATTGGGTGAGGGCCTGTGAACACATACGTGATACTCAACAGCTATTTGCCTCACCACAATGTTTGGGTTATAATAATGAAAAGGGCAATTTATATCCGGAACTTTGTATGCCACCCAAGGAGCATATAATACGTCAAATAAAACGATTGATTAAAAATGTCAAGCAGGATCATCCCAAAAATGAGATACGTTCCATATTTGTGGCTTCGGATGCCAATCACATGATTACGGAATTGAACAATGCCTTGCAGCGTATGAACATTACCGCCTATCGTTTGCCCGAGGATAATCCCCATTTAGATTTGGCCATATTGGGTATGTCAAATCATTTCATTGGCAATTGTATCTCGTCCTACTCAGCCTTTGTCAAAAGAGAAAGAGATGTCAAGGGGTTCCCTTCCTATTTTTGGGCATATCCCAAGGAAAAGGAACGTCAACACATGAAAGTTCATGAGGAACTTTAAACACTCCACCTCAATATTTTTAAGTAATCTCAAAAACCTAAACTTAAGCCCGAACAAAAACATTCCAAACGCTAATGATGGTGTTTGATCATGGAAAAACACCCAATATTTAAAAAAAATGGGGTTTCCATAATTTATTAGTTTTTATCATTTTTTTTAAATAAAATATATTATACCGTCATACAAAAAAAATTTAAACACGTTTTATCTTGTTGTTGCTGTTGTTATTCTTTAGTGGATTTGATTGATGTTAATGCTTATGGGTAGTTGGTATTTGCTCTTCTAATGGACCAATTTTTGACTTCTAGCTAAATCCAATTGTACTGCCGACACCTGTGTTAGACCCTCACGCACAGCACTCAAATTATCCTTCCAGGCATGCAAAAGATCACGCAATTGTTCCCATTGTGGTGCACCAAATGTACGATGCATAGTGGAGGAAATGTGTACTTTACGATTGGCTTGATCAAGGCGAGCCCTAACCAATTTTGTCTTCAATACCTCAATAACAAAAGGCTCAACTTCATCTTCGGTGATTTGCAATTCCTTGGTAAGGGTATCGAAACTCATTTCGGGATTACTTTCAGCCAATTGCATGAAGGTCAACAAACGCATTTTCTTCATATTCTGTTCGTGGTTAAGGCCCTGAGAGGTAACGAATTCCTTGTGGTCCTCATAGAATTGAATATAGGCTGGCAACTTTTCCGAAACAAAAATCGACAACAAATCGTGTATTAAATCACCCTCCAGGAAGCGTACAGGTTTCAAGGCCAACAAGGGATCCAAAAGGAATGTGTTGGGATCAGCCAAAGCGGTGACAATACATTTCATGGCATCTTCACGGGCGACACAGGCATTATCCGAGGTATAGGTGCCCAAAAGTTCAATCATTACCTTGGCTGAAACTTCCATGTTTGTGTCTTTTGTAACATCGTGAAGCAGGCGGTATAATTTTTGCATTTGTTCGGCTGAGGGTGGGCAATTGGCAAATTGGGATTTGACTTGTTCAACACCGCTGAACACCTCCATAACTTGATCGCATTGTTTGGCAACTTGGACCAAATGATAATAGACATGGTAGCGCAATGGCGATGATGTGTCCAAATTGTTGAACAAACGCCACAGTGATTGCAGACACACCTTGGTCAAGGCAACATTGGGGGCCTTGGTCATTTTTTCGCAGTATGCCAAAATAATGTTTTCTCCACGATCCAAGGAAATCTACGAAAAAGAAAATATTATTTATCTGGCTTTGTTTAATTTCCAAATACTTACGGTAATCATAATGGACACAATGCTGTTGAGAATGCAATCAATTTGTGCTGGATCTCCATCCTTGAAGCAAACATCACAAACACCAATGATTTTGTGTAAATCATCTTCAACACCTTTGCTGGATTTTTCCGAGGAGATTTCGGCGCCCAAATTCTTAAAATATTTTCTCAATTCTTGGACCTATGGCAAAAAGGGGGTAAATGTCATTATTATTCATAAATGCCACACAAAAAAAAATTGTCGTCGTCTGTTCATCAACCCGTCACATACAAAACACAACATAACCTCAAAACGGCCAGCATTTGCAAATTTCCTTAAACTTGTATTTTGCATGTTTCCTGGTGTCCTAATGGTATACATACCTGCTCGTCCATGGACAAGTCTATAAAAACTGGTGGAGAGTTCATCATTTTGCTAGTTTCCTTGGAGTTGGCTGGGTTTTTTTTAATAAATTTACTGCAAAAATTCGAGCAACACACGTCGCTTTTTTTGACGGCAGTAGAAAGAGAAAACAAGGCAATGATAGGGTACCAGCAATCGACTTTGGGACTTATCGAGGCAAGGCATATACCCAATAATCGATTTATTAATGGTCACCAAAATGGAATTTTATTTACAAATTATTAATAAAATAGCTTAAATACAATAATTTAATCGTTAATAATACTAAATTTAATAAATTTTCTTTAATATATCAATACAATTAGCATTTTATTCTTGTTTATCTTAGAACACAACGATTAGTCATTTATCGATTGTTAGATACCTATTCCATTTTGGCATTTGGCATGTTTACTAGTTCATTAGTTCACCCCGTGAATAGCTAAATTAAACAAAATCACTTTGGCATTTTACAAAAATGTGTTTTTGCATCAAAAACACAATTCAGAAGTTAAAATAATCGTTTAAATTCTAATAAAAATTAACTGAAAGAAGACTTAGGTACTATATTTTTAAATAAACATTGCAGATTTACATTCAATATATTTAAATTCCCTTAGATCCTGTATATTCCTCACAAATCTCTCACAATGGAAGAATTTCAGGAAACACACGCACAAGATTCCACACTATTGGCAATAAATAGCGAAAACAATGTTAGAGAAGATCCAAAACAGGAATTTTATGTTAAAGCACAAAAATACTGGTCAGAAGTTCCTCCCACGGTGAATGGTATGCTTGGCGGCTTGGGCTATATCAATGCCGTTGACATACAAGGATCCACCAGCTTCCTGCGTGAATTGAAAATTAAAGATATGCAGAAAAAATATGCCTTAGACTGTGGTGCTGGTATTGGTCGGGTGACAAAAAATCTCCTAATGCCTCTATTCGAAAAAGTCGATCTTGTTGAACAGGATCCCACATTTGCTGAGAAGGCAAGAGATTATTGTGTAACGGATATGGGTTCTACACTTGGTTATCCCAAACGTTTGGGAGAAATCTATAATGTGGGATTGCAACAGTTTATACCCACACCACAGAAATATCATGTGGTATGGTCACAATGGGTTTTGGGTCATTTGACCGATGAAGATTTGCTGAAGTTTTTCAAACGTATCAAAATCGGTCTCGCTGATGGTGGGCTGTTTGTTATGAAAGAGAATGTAACATCATCGAATAAAACGGACATAGATGATGGAGATTCTTCGGTGACTAGACCGCTGAGTGAATATGAAAAATTCCTTAAAGAGGCTGGCTATCGCATTATAAAAATGACCAAGCAAAAGAATTTACCCAAAGGATTGTATCCAGTGTGTATGATTGCATGTCGTCCTGTGGCAAAAAGCGATTAAATTTGAAGGATAAAAAAAATGTTTTTTTAAACATCAACGCTTAATAGTGGCTATCATATTTTTTTTTAGAATTACTTTTTTTATGTTTTCGGCCCAGTCAACAGAATGAAAACTTCAATTATTTTTAGTGGCTATATATTTTTTTAATTTTTAGAGTTAAAATTTTTTGGTCCAGTTTTTGTTTTGATTTATAGAACTAGTCCTACGTTCGAACGCACAAATTTTTTGAGTACATAGTATGTATACATAACTTATTTTTATTTATACAATAGACTTAATAAAAATTGCTTTAGTTTTTATTTTGTAAAAAAACAATAAGATTTACAAAATAAAGCACAATAAAAGAATCGATAAAATAAATTTTTTATATTGACCTTTAAAAAAATCTAGACCTTCTGAGGATGTCTAAAAAATATTCTTTAAAATATCCGCGTCTGTGTGGATTATGTCCGAAAGGACATCGGCCCACTGCTTCTTGTACCACCCACCCAGGGTCAACATGTTTAAATCTCTTTAATTTAATATCAAGCGAATTGAATATGCGATTTGATTCAAATTTTGCAAATTATCATTTTTGTCAAACCTAGATCAAGTTCGAAGATAGGAACCACCGTTCTACGCTCTTAGGTATCTCCCAATAAAAACAATAATACCTGTGTGTAATTTCGTAGGCTGAGGGTACATACCTGTCGTTATTTATACAGTCCATTAACAGAGGTAAACATTTAACAGATTTATGTTATCAATTTTTAACATTTTATTTTCATTCGGAACCGGAATTACAATATCGTTCTAGCAAAGGAACCGGACGCGCAATTATATATTTTTTTTATTAATTACTACTGAACATGTGAAGGGGAAAACAGGTCAACAACAGAATAAATCCCTTTTTAATATTTCCCGCGAAAATGGCAAGCTTTATTACACACAATTAAACAAAGAGGATAATTTCTTTCTTTCACACCCCTATAGGAAATGTCCATAGTAAATCACTACTGACATACTATTGTCACCAGACTACTCTACAACTATATACCCAATACAATGCGTTTTACTATGTATTGACATTTAACATATGCTTGTCATTGCGAATGAACTAGGGACATGGTCTCACAATTGACACAATGCCACCAATGTAGACCGTGTCACTAGTACATATTTTATAATATATTTTGCTCATATTTTTCTTCGCCAATTACTTAAATTAATTATTTAATTAAATTTAAACACTTTTCAACAAAAAGTCTGCCTAATGGCGCCAAAATTATTCGTAATAAAAGAAAATTAACGAAAGTAAGAAGAAGCATAACCATGCTCAGCTAACTGTTAACACAAACAATGCTTCTTCTTATTGCATGATCTGTAGACAGTTGTTGTAGCGCCAACGTCCTTTGAAAAGAACACCAAAAATGGTAAGAAAAACCCGTTATCTCAGTAAATTTATATAATTTTAATTTTTTGTTGTTGTACTTTGTTCTATATTTATTTGTTAATAAAATATTATGATAATAATAAATAATGGAGCATTCACCACATTTTCTTCAGGGCACATCTTTTTTAATATTGATCCCCTCGTTAACCCATTTTCTACATCATCTCTTATAAATTAGTATACAACGGAAACTCTGCTAAGAAAATGTATACATATATTTCATATTCCTTTTTTTGGTACTTATTGCCTGCATATAGTCATCCTTTTTGCACAAAATTCTAATTTGACGAAGATCCTCTCTAAGCTTCCTTAACGAAATAGTCTCTCCTACAAATCAGTTCTATCGTCGCAGTCTTCGAAAACGGTCGCTCTTGAAATTGCTCTTGATTATTTTGTGTTTTGTGTCGGAAAATCCTAAGGAAATTGAAAGAAAAGTTTATGAATCCAATAAATAAGTCTTTGTTTTGCATTTGTGAAGTGTTTTTCCAATTGGAATTGTGTTTTATTTGCTAAAATTGATAAATTTCTTATTCAAGAGTCGCGAGTGAGCGTGTGTGAGTGTTAACGAAAGAAAATTCCCTCTTAGTTGCATTGTGTGCATTAAAGCTTTCAGCATTTGCGCGGGAAAGTTTTAAGGAGAGATAAACTCTCTCTTGTTGTAGTTGTGTTCTCATCCTTTTTTAGAAGTTCATAATAAAAAAAGAGACATCAAAATGTCTAATTCCTTTGTAAGAAAGTTTTTTTGTGTGTGTTTCCCCTTCGAGTTGAGTAGTAGTAAATGAGAAAATGCAAAAATGGTGATATGTGAGTTTTCAATGAAGAAAAAAAGAGAAAATGCAAAAAAAATATGAATATAGCGAAATTTAAAGAAAAAAAAATAGAGAGAATCTTTATATTAAAATGGCCTGTTATTTCCTCCTGAGAACATCAAAATGTCAAATACCTTTGTGAGAAAGGTTTTGTATGTGCAAAAGTAGTAAATGAGAAAATGCAAAATAGTGTAAATATTGCAAAGTAAAAAAGGCACAAAATGTAAAAAAGTTCAAATAAAAAAAAGAGAAAAATCAATCTTAATATTTAAATGGCCTGTTATTGTGTTCTGTGCAAAACAGCTTTTAGTGTTTATGCAAAGTGTAATGCTTAGTTTACATCTCCAGTTTTGATCCAATCAAATGATGTTTTCATCGATCTAAAAAAGGTAATTTTTACACACCGTTAGATATTGAAAAAATTATTTTCCCTATGATTTTTTTAAATAATATTTTTAATATATCAAATCGCAAAGGAAATGTAAGGTGTTATATCGCTTTTGTCGACTATTATGACGACATGTCTGCATTATTTAACCCAGATAACGCCAGAGATTTGTTCTTCAAAATCTTAAAATTAATTTTAAAACATAAATATTTATCATAATATTTTATTAACAAATAAATATTTTTGAATAAAATTTAGTGTTAGCACAAAGCAAACGGAGTATAGAACAAAATACAACAACAAAAACTGAAAATGTATAAAAATAATGAGATAACGGTTTGTTCTTACAGTAGTATTGCCATTTTTAGTGTTCCTTTCTACATTTCATGTAATAAGAACAAGCATTGTTTGTGTTAACAGTCAGCTGAGCATGGTTATGCTTCTTCTTACTTTTGTTAATTTTCTTTTATTACGATCATTATACAGACATTTTGTTAAAAAGTGATTAAAAGTAATTGGATAATTAATTTAATAATGTAATATAGAAAAAATATATTAGCAAAAGAACCCTGAAGGAAATGGGGGGTGTTTTATCACTTTTGTCGTCTATTATGGCGACATATTTCCATATTTGAAACGACGTGTCTACATATCATGTAATAAGAAGAAGCATTGGTTATGTTAACAGTCAGCTGAGCATTGTTATGCTTCTTCTTAGTTTTCTTTTATTATAAATAATTTTGGCGGTAATAGACAGACATTTTTTTAAAAAGGCGAGTTTTAATTGTTTAAAGGCAATTGGAAAATTAATTTAATTATAAAAAAATAAGCAAAACAACTTATAAAAGATTTACGTGTGACATGGTGTATATATGTGACCTTATGTCTATATCGTGATCCAATGAACTGGTCGAGTCAGAAGGAATCGTTATCGAAAATTTTGAATTAAAATATTCCCCATATCAGTATACCGAACAATTGTATGTCTAAGGGTCTTCTTGAATAGATTAAAGTCTTATTTATGAAGGCCTCAGGTCTTCTTCCAGAATAGATGTAGGTCTCAGGTATTGTTTTAAAATAGATTAAGGCCTTGAATAGATTAAAGTCTTTTTATTCTTGTTCTAGAATAGATCAGGTCTTGTTTTGGAATAGATGAAGGCCTCAGGTTTTGTTCTAGAATAGATGTAGGTCGCAGGTATTGTTTTAAAATAAATTAAGGCCTTAGGTATTGTTCTACAATAGATGAAGGCCTCAGGTCTTGTTCTAGAATAGATGAAGGGCTCAGGTCTTGTTCTAGAATAGATGAAGGCCTCAGGTCTTGTTCTAGAATAGATGAAGTTTTTAGGTCTTGTTCTAAAATAGATGAAGGCCCCAGGTCTTGTTCTAGAATAGATCAAGGCCTCAGGTCTTGTTCTAGAATAGATCAAGGCCTCAGGTCTTGTTCTAGAATAGATCAAGGCCTCAGGTCTTGTTCTAGAATAGATCAAGGCCTCAGGTCTTGTTCTAGAATTGATCAAGGCCTCAGGTCCTCTTTATGATTAGATGAAGGATTCCGGGTCTTCTTCAAGAATCGATGAAGTCTTCAGGTCTTCTTTACGAATAGATGAAGTCATCTGGGTATTCTTCAAGAATATATCAAGGCCTCAGGTCTTTATATATTCTTGAATAGATGAAGGCTTCAGGGTCTTCTCTATGAATAGATGAAGGCCTCAGGTTCTTCTTCAAGAATAGATGAAAGCCTCAGGTTCTTCTTCAAGAATAGATGAAGGCCTCAGGTTCTTCTTCAAAAATAGATGAAGGTCTCAGGTCTTCTTTATGAATAGATGAAGGCCTCAGGGTCTTCTTCAAGAATATATCAAGGCCTCAGGTCTTGTTCTAGAATAGATAAAGGCCTCCGAATCTTCTTCTGGAATAGATGAAAGCCTCAAGGTATTTTTTTAAAACAGAAAAAGTTCTCAGTATTTTCTTCAAGAAGTAGGTTTCTCGAGGAATTACCTTGTGTGGGCCAGCCAGCGGAACCTAGCACATTTACTATTCTTAACAAAGACATAGCAATTCGCAAAAAAATGCTGAAACACAATTTATTTACTTGTTTGATTAAATTATTTTATTTATAACATACAGTGTGTTTGTGTGACAATAAGTTTAACATATATATTATTCAACGGATGATTATGGTGGAGTTGGTAACCACCCTTGGATGATGTAGATTTAAATGAAACCCTAGCTGAAGAGATGGGCAACGTGGTGGTATTTGTTACCTTTCAAAACACACTCTAGTGGGTTTCACAATTCCGCCCTTTTATAAACAAGAGATTTTATATTAAATGCTTAAATAAATTTAAAGCTCATATTTTTTCAGTATATATAAATGTATGTATGTATAAGAGTTAAGTATGTATATATTGTGGTGTTTCGTTACAAATTAGTTATATAATTCCCTTTTTATTGCATACAAATAAGAAAAATAAAAGTAATAATGGACAAAAGAAAAGCTGAATAAACACAAAAAACACAAATAAGAAAATGAAATTAAAAATTAAATGAAAAAATCAAAAAATGGATATATTTTAAAATTCGTTCGTTTAGACAGTAGGATAACTAGAGGCAGTGGCAATACCACACTGATTCTGTTGATTACGTGCCATCTTAATGAAACCCTTATCACCCCAGGTGGTACCCCATGAGTTCTTGACCAACCAATAATCTTGGCCATTTTCATCGGTACCATAGCCGACAACCAAAACACCATGATCCAATTGCTGCGAATCACAGGCGGGTTCATTGTAAACGCCCTCACTATAGAATTGGAATGATTCGTGTGAGGCATCAATGGCCACGGAGACAGGGCCAATTGTGGCAACAGCTGCCATCATTTTCTCTTCATCACCCTCGGGAATGTCAACAAAACCGGTATCGGTGGCACCAACAGCATTCTTATCGAAATGGCAGGAATCATCAATACCTTCATAGGGATAGGCCTTTTCGGTGTCAATGCCACCATTATCCTTAATGTAACGGAAGGCATTATCCATAAGGCCACCATTGCAGCCGTTGTTGCCATATTTCGTTGAGCAATCGACCAAATTTTGTTCACTCAACGAGACCAAGACACCGGTTTTACGGAAATGTTGTCCCTCCAAGGCACCAGTTGCGGAAAAAGACCAGCATGAACCGCAATGACCTTGATCCTTGACAGGGGTGACAGCACCCTTTTGACGCCAATCAACAGTTTTGGGTACAGTGACATGGGCCGGTGGGATATAAGTCATGCCAACATAACCTTGTGCACTGTAAGGAAAAATTGAAAAAATTAATTTAATTTTTTTTAATTATAAAAAATGTCTATTTTGACCTACCGCAATGCCTGACGCATGGTGTGATTGTAGCCATTCATGGTTTCTTTGAATTCATGATGCAACATATCGGCATATTTGTTCAAGCCCAGCTTGTAGGTTACCTTGCCCATGGCATACAATTGATTGTGTTTGGCAATTTTGTGACGATTTTCGGTGAAGATTTTGAAACGGAAACGTTCCTCCATATCGTTGTTGTAGTTTTTGCCATGTTCCAACTGCAAAAGAGAGAGGTGAAAAAGGAAAGATGAAATTAATTATTGGATCAGAGGGGGAAAAATAGTTCATAGCTTAAATTTCTACGGAAGATTTTCTAAAGTTTAAAATGAAACTCGGGAAGGTCTTCGGGCCATCCTAAAGATCATTTAAATTGTGGGGGCCTTCAAAAGGTTTTTTAGTTTCAAATTAAAAACTTCTTCAGGTCTTATATGCCATCTATAACAACAGATGAAGGCCACAAGCCACAAGCCTGGTATTAGAAGAGATTAAGGTCAAAATCTTTTTCTAGGGCAGATAAAGGACTGAGGTCTTTTCTTACAAGATATGATGAACTCAAGTATTTTTTTCTAGAAAATATGAAAGCCTCATGATTTCTTTTAAAATAAATAATGGCCTCCGGTCTTCCTCCAGGTTTAATGGTATTCAACTAGAGTAAAAAAAGGTCCCAGCACCTCTTAGCATAGATAAATGCTTTAGGTCTTCTTTTAAAATAGATGAAGGCCTTAGGAAATCTTATAGAATATAAGTAGGTCTCAGATCTTCTTCTAGAATAGATGAAGACTTCAGTTTTTCCTTTACAGTATATGAAGATATTTTTCTTGAATAGATTAAGGTCTCAGGTAATTTTCTAGAAGAGGTAAATGAAGGCCTTCTTCTAGAGTGTAAGAAGGCCATAGGGCTTCTTCTAGAAAATATGAAGGTCTCAAGTCTTCTTTTGGAATAGATGGAGGCCTCTCCTTTTCTTTTAGATTATATGAAGGCCTAAGGAATTTCTCTGGAATATATGAAGTTCTTAGGGGTTGTTCTAGAATATATGAAGGACTCATGTCTTTTTCTGGAAAAGATGAAGTCTTTTTTTAGAAGAGATGAAGGCCTCAGGTATTCTTCTACAATAGATGAAGGCCTCAAGTCTGCTTCTAGAATAAATGAAGGCCTCAAGTCTGCTTCTAGAAAAAATGAAGGCCTCAGGTCTTCTAGAATAGATGAAGGTATGAAGGTATCTAGAATAGACCAACTTCTTAGGTATTTTTCTAGAAGAGAGAAAGGTCTCAGGTATTCTTCTAGAACAGATGAAGGCCTCAAGTATTCTTCTAGAATAAATGAAGAACTCAGATCTTCTTCTACAACAGATGAAGGCCTTAAGTATTCTTCTAGAATAAATGAAGACCTCAGATCTTCTTCTACAACAGACGAAGGCCTTAAGTATTCTTCTAGAATAAATGAAGGCCTCAGATCTTCTTCTACAACAGGTCTTCTTCTAGAATACATTAATGTTTCAGGTATTTTTCCACAACAGATGAAGGAATCAGGTCTTCTTCTAGCATATATTAAGGCCTTAGACCTTATTCTAAAATATATGAAGGCCTCAGATGTTCTTCTGGAATAGATGAAGGCCTGAGGTCTTCTTCTAGAATATATGAAGGTCTCAGGTCTTCTTCTAGAATAGATGAAGGCCCCAAGTATTCTTCTAGAATAGATGAAGGTCTCAGGTCTTTTTTCTACAACAGATGAAGGCCTCAGGTCTCCTTCTAGCATAGATTAAGGGCTCTTCTTCTAGAATAAATGAAGTTCTCAGATGTTCTTCTAGAATAGATGAAGTTCTCAGATGTTCTTCTAGAATATATGAAGTTCTCAGATGTTCTTCTTGAATAGATGAAGACCTGTGGTCTTTTTCTAGAAAAATTGAAGGCCTTAGGACTTCTTCCAGAATAGATGATGGCCTTTGGCGTTCTTCTAGAATAGATGACTACCTCAGAGCCTTTTTCTAGAATAGATGACTACCTCAGAGTCTTTTTCTAGTATAGATGAAGGCTTCATGATTTTTTCTAGGATTGATGAGGGCCTTACGATTTCCTCAATCTGTACAAATACAGCACAGATAACCAAAAAAATCTTCCAAATTTTGGAAAAAGGCAATTAAAATTTTCGACCAATTTTTTGTAAAATTTTAGGGGGAAAAATGGTCAACATTTTTAAAAAATAATTGTCGAACCTTTACCAAAATAATTTTGACCAATTTTTGATGAAAAAAAAATTTTTAAATTTACTAAAAATTCTACCAAATTTTAGGGAAAACTGAAAGCCAATAAAAAAAATAAACAAATAATAATAGTTCCATGCTTTTTGCATTGTTTTGAATATATTTTTTTAGTCTTCTTATTTTTCTGCGATAAGAAATATCAAAGTTTATTTGTACAAAAAGCCAACGGCAACAACAACATCAACAAAGCCATGCTTTGTCGCTGCAATTGTGAGCGAAATTAAAAAATTTGCATCAACTACAACTGATAATAAAATAAACTTATGTGCATTAAAAAATAAAAATAAAAAAATAATCAACAAAAATTAAAAAAAAAAAAAACAAACAAAGAACAGCAACAACAATGTTTTATTGTTATCAAAAAAAAAATATAATAATAATAAAAACAACAATTTTTTCAGATTAAAATTTTCAAAAAAAAAAAATTAAAAATATAATTATTACATCAAAGTCCCACTGTGCTTCATAAAATCCCCCATTAATCATTAACGGCACTTCATAATCCAAAAAAGCAACAACGACAAACCTTCATACACTAAACCCCTCTCTTTCTTATGAATTTATTCGCTCTCTCTCTCTTCCTAATCTCTAATGACTCTTTGTAATCTTTTCTTGTGTCAAAAAAATTCTGCAAATAATAATGAATTGTGACCAATAAATAAAACAATAAATTAAATATCCAATATAAAATTCGTTCGCACGTTTACGATGCAAAAATGAAAAAATCTACAAAATATTATCTCTGCTAATCTTTTCGCCTTGAGAAAAGAGAAACGTCAGAGAAGCAAAACACACACCTCACCTCTTAATCGCAATCGTTTTAAAATCAAAATTTCTTTCGAAACAAATGTGATTGGGCAGTAAAAAGTAATATATTATATTAGATATGAAAAAAATTAATGTACAAAAAGAGGTGCATGAACAGGCGAAGAGGTTGATAAGTAGAAGAAGTAAAGAAGTTAGCGTGATAAGCGTTTATTGTGTTACACTTTGTTACTAAATCAACAATAAAAGGGTCATGTCGTGTCGAAGACATTTGGCGACAACATAAAAACAAAAAATTTGTGAATTTATCAAGTGCAGGGTGGGTGGACGGACAGACGGGCACCAAAACATAAATAAGTGCTCGGTACAAAAAAATGGGGGGAAACCAACCAACCTTCCAGTCAGTCAACTATTGACAATACGAACCACATGGTTTTATGTTTGAGCTCAAATATTTATACATTTATTTACATAGTTAGGGAAACAATTGAATTAAAAGATTGAGCTAAATTGAAGATTTTCCATTGGAAACCCTATTCAGCAATGCTGAATTGCAGATATCGTAGAGGAAGTTTTATTCAGCTGGCCTGAATTGCATATTTTCCATAGGAAACCTTATTAAGCTGAGCTGAATTGCAGATATCCTACTGGAAAGCATATTATTCATTTAAGCAGAATTGATGATTTTCCCCATATTAAACCTCATTCAGCTGAGAAGTATTAATGATTTTACATAGGAAACTTTTTTCAGCTGAGCTGATTTGAAGATTTCTCAGCTGAATTGAAGATTTACCATATTAAACCCTATTCAGCTGTGGCCTAAATTGAAGATATTCCATTGGAAAATCCTATTCAGCAATGCTGAATTGCAATTATCCTACAGGAAAGCTTATTCATGCGGCCTGAATTGCATATTTTCCATAGGAAACCTTATTCATTTAAGCAGAATTTATGATTTTCCACTGCAAATCTTATTCAGCTGAGCTGAATTAAAGATTTTCCATATTAAGCCCTATTCAGCTGAGAAGATTTGATGATTTTACATAAAAAATCTTTTTCAGCTGAGCTGAATTGAAGATTTCCCATATTAAACCTTATTCAGCTGAGTAGAAATAACGATTTTTATATACAGCTTGAAGTTTTTGTACTGGAAACCTTATTGAATAATGCCGAATTTAAGAATTCCTACAGGAAATCTTATTCAGCCAGGCTGAATTGAAGATTTTCTATAAGTTTCAAACAGATTGTATTCATATTCATGCAGGAAAAGTTATTCAGCCAGGCTGGATTGAAGTTCAGCTATAGGAAAACTTATTCAGCCAGGCTGAATTGATGTTTACGTATAGGAAAACCTATTCAGCCAGGCTGAATTGATGTTTACGTATAGGAAAACCTATTCAGCCAGGCTGAATTGAAGTTTATAGGAAAACTTATTCAGCCAGGCTGAATTGCAGTTTACCTATAGGAAAACGTATTCAGCCAGGCTGAATTGAAGTTTACCTACCTTAAAAAATATTTTTTTTTTCGAAATCCTTACATAAATATATATATATATATATATATACAATAAATCAAAATTCTTTGCAAAAATATTTTTTTAAAATCTAAAAAAAAAATCTAAAATAATATTTTGAAAAAAATCTATCCATAAAGTATGTAAATCAACAAATTTGATTTCAATCTGACTAACATGAGGAGTTTGATGCCCAATTTACTTGAAATCGGGCGAAAATATATATGGAAGCTCTATCAAAATATTAGGCGATTTCAAACAAACTTGTCACAGGTTAGGTTATACTAATTTCAGAAAGTTTTGTTCCTATCAGCCTATTGGTTCCTTGGTGCATCAATTACTTAAAATCAATCTATAATAAAAGGAAGCTCTATCTAAATCTGGACCGATTTTCACGAAACAAGACAGACATCACTCTAGGCTCAATTCAGTACGTTATGCCAAATTTCGTGCAAATCGAAGGATATATAGGGACTTTGGTGCACCATTTACCTAAAATCGGGCGAAACTATATATGGGAGCTATATCTAAATCAGGACAGATTTTCACGAAACTTGGCAGACATCATTCTAGGCTCAATTCAGTACGTTATGCCAAATGTCGTGCAAATCGAAAGATATATAGGGACTTTGGTGCATCATTTACATGAAATCGGACGAAACTATATATGGAAGCTATATCTAAATCTGGACCGATTTTCTCGG